CGGTGTTCGCCGAAGGTGGCCGAAGGTGGTGGTCATCGATAATTAAATATTATAGTAACTGTAAATGCATGGTTGAACCCGATAACTATATTTGATCGAGTTGGATAAATATAACTGATCAAGTTGGGTAACTACAACTAACGGAACATATATTTGTAATTTACAGATCGGGTAACTACAACGGTCAGATCAGGTAACTGTAACTAGAGGGTCAGGTAATTGTAATTGGCGTATCGGGTAATTGTAACTGGTCGCGTCGGGTAACTGTAACCGATCGGCTCATGTAACCGTAACTGGTTGGGTCTGGTAAGTGTAACTAGTCAGATCAGGTAATCATAACTTGGAGCGTACGTATAAAAGTCATATGGGTCTCTTTTTGGAAACTTTTACATTTTGTGCTGCTTTTGTCCCCGAGTTTTCCTTTAGTAATATTCATGACACGATCCCTTAAAATTTTGGAGGCAAAATGATTTTATGACAAGTTTATGCTAGAAATCACATATCAGATAAAATTACAATAATTGGTTAAGCATGCATTTTTTAAATTGAACGTAAAATCATTGCATGGTATTAGTAATATTCATGACACAATATTGTAAAATTTTGGAGGCGAAATGTTTGTGTGACAAGTTTATGTGAGCAATCATATATCAAATGAAATTACAATGTTTGGTTAAGCATCAAATATTTTGCCACCCTTCTCACACATGAAATGTATATTATTAAAAAGTGACATGCAATGTACATTAAATAATTAAACCTTGTGATGTAAACCTTTTACATCTTTGCCTTTTGCATGCCACCAAACCTTGGACTGTTTCTTGTCTAATCGGGTATATATTTGAATCAAATTTTATGTTTTATATTACAAAAGCCTTCTCGAATTCCACCAGCTTGTTGAATCAACTCAATTATCATTTTTTAGCAATATAGTCCCATGTTTCTAGATTACTTTCTTTTGGGTGTGTTTCGAAAAACAAAGAAAATTAATTAATAAAAATTAATGAAATAAAATGATTAAACGAAAACAGAAAACAGATGAAGCAGAAAATAACCAAAGGTCGTGCTACGCAAGATTTCCTTAAAACGTATTCGTTGCCTCCCGAGGTGCTAGGAGCGTTACAACGATAGTTTCCCAGGATACGATGACTAACGAGAAACTGTTTGAGCACTCAAACGATTGTTCCGGCGAACGAGAACAACAGTATGAACACTAAGGAATTTTCAGATATGGTTGGAGAGTTTATTGAGGTAAAGAGAAGTGCAGTACGTTTGTGACTTGTGTATTTCCGCAAAGCATCTACCAGCCTTTTATAGGGGTGAATTTTGGTGTGTTTATGGCTATTTTATGTGATTCCAGCATAAAAATAGCCCATTTTCGAATGGAATTCGTGTTCGCAGGTCACCCGCGCATGAAAGCAGCATTTTTTGTTCTCCGGTTTTGGAATTTGATTCACATTACCCTTACGCACATGAGAGAGCCTTTACCCTAAGAAATCTTAACTCCTTAAGGGGGGTTTCCCTTTATAAAGGGTTCAAATTTCCTTGGGTTTTCCGGTGTGGGAAAAAACCACACTAGAAACCCACATTTTCCTAGTTTTTCTCCATTTCAACGAGTGAACTTTGAGAATCAATTTCTCATTCACCCGTTATCCGTTTTGAGCGTACCATATATCGAATTGTAGCCCTAAGCAAGGACAATCCGAAACCACTTTGACCCGACCCAAATCGAAAATGGAATCCACTTAAAAAATTGCCCCAAAATGACCATTTAATGCAATTTATTAACACATTTTCCAACACTTTCCACCTTAATCCTGCATCTAGATTACTTTCCACCTTAATCCTGCATGATCACCTCACCGGCTCACCGCCACATCATCGCATGCGTATTCGGTGGACTAATTAGAGAAGCTTGACTAATTATAGAGAAGCTTGACTTTTAACGCCTGCGTATTCTGTGGAGTAATTAGAGGGATTTAGAGAGACCCCTTGAAGATAAGTTTTACTTTTCTTCTTTTATTTTATATAATTAAAATAATTGTGTTAGTGGTCTATTGCAATACAGTTGTTAGCTCTGTGCAAAATTGAAATTTAGTTATGCTTTGCATTTATGCTTTATAATTGATGAACTACGATTAATGCATTTGTGCTATAAATCTTATAATGCTGTTTTTATACATTTATTTTTCAGTGATTACATATAATGTGATCGAGGCTATAAAAAAACCATTCACACACTGAAGCATTTTGCAAGATTTTTAGCTAGCTAAGTGCAAATTTGCAGGATACTACGTATTATCTGCAAGGTTTACTAATTATTTTAATATTTAGATGTAAATACTAATTTTAATATTTTATCACTTTCAATTTAGCCAATATCTAATATATCTAATTTATTATCAAGTTTAATAGTTATGGTTTCATATAATTTTCAGCACTGTTAAATGTCCCACACCGGAAACGTTTGGATGAACGAAGTGCTATATTAACACATGGGCTACTCCTCCTATCAGGTTGACCTTTTAGGATGGAACCCCGGGTCTTAACAAGCACCTCCTCAAAAAGTCTTCTGGATCCGCCACTGAAAAGGAGTATAGAACCTAATGGGGAATTTTGGGTTACTTTTAATCCCATTTAGGACTAATAGCTGTATTAATTATTTATTGATTCATATTTTGTCAACTTAATATATTATTTTAATAAACTATTAATATTATTCTTTTGTTTTTTGGCAAGAACGACTATTAATATTATAGAAAAAAGTTGACCTGCAAGGGAACAAATGTATTACGTAATTCATTGGAGAAACATGATAAAAGGAGGTAAGGGTCAGATTAGTACCCGAAGTTGCATAAAAAGAGTCAAATAAGTCCTTATATAGGAGGCTCTGTCCGGCAGTCGCCATTTGGGGCGGTTTCCAGTGAAATTTTTTGACTAAATTTTTTGAGCATCTTATTCATTAAGTCTAGTTTACTCATACCAAATTTCAGAAAACAATTCAACCGGGAAGGCATTCAAATGAATTCTTGAAGATAGTTGTGCAGTTAAAAGCGCAGTTATCTTCAAGAATTCATTTGAATGAAGTTTTAGCTGAAATTAGGTACGAGTAAACTAGACTTAATGAATAAGATGCTAAAAAAATCATTAAAAAATTCCATCGGAAACCGCCTCAAATGGAGACGGCCGGATAGTAAGGACTTATTTGACCCTGTTTATGCAACTTCGAGTACCAATCTGACCCTTACCTCATCATAAAAGTATGGTAAAAATTAATTATTTGGTGAATCAGAGATAAAGAAGAGACGCGCCGCATGTCTTGGCGTTTCCAACCAGCCATTTTTTTTTTTTGCTTCTTGAGATAAAGAAGCCGATTCAAAAAGGCATTCACCAAGCATATTGGTTAGTTGATCAACCAATCCCAACTAAACTTACTCAAACCAACCAAAAAAAAGATTGATAAATCTTTTATTATTGCAGAAGTGTGCATCCTAGGCTTCATCAGATTTAAAGAGAATTCAGCTTTTCAACAATTGTAAAAGTACATATACATCATAACCAGGGCCGGTCCTGTCGATTTTCAGGCATATGGGCGAGATATTATTTGGGCCTATGTTCAAGACAATAACTAATCTCTAAAAATCGATCAATGAAAAAGGACCCGCCAATATTTATTCTCTTCACTTAAATCACAATTATCTGGCTCAATTTCACTATTTGCGACTTCTGCACCTATATCACTATTTCCAAGCATGTTATGGTTTTCACTCACAAAAGAATTTAGCGGCGATTCAACTTAAGAAGAATTTTCAGGATTCAATTTCTTAACAAAAACAAAATTTTCCATTGCCCCCGTCTTACTTAAGGCTGCCTTTTCTAATCTTTGTCTCTTTTTCTCTTTTTCCCAACCAAATTCACCCATTTTATCAAACACCTTCACAATAGTAAAACGAAATAAAGGAATTCAATTCAAAATTGCACAATACCAAACAACTATGAATTTAACAAGACACCAAAAATGCATCATATAGAAATCATTAATTAATCATAATTCATAAATCAAAAGAACATTTAGTGGATTTATTATTTATAGCTAATATAGATTGAGAATAATTTACTGGCCGTTGTCGGATTGTTTGAAGCCTTGACAGAAGAAGGTGTTCTAATCGCCGGCCGCTGTTTGGGCTCCTCACCGCTGGCCGCTTTGGCTAATGGTGATTTGCAGGCTTGCGGCGCTCTCTAATGTCTACTCTTGTGCAAGACGACCAAGACCTTATTAAACCTTAGTCCTTTAGTTCATTAGATAATTGAGTTTAATTGGAACTTGGAAACCACCGTCCAGGAAATTAATTAGGTTAGTGGGATGGGGTGGTTTATGAATCGGGAGTTTGGGAGACACACGGGTTGTTCAAAGAGTTAGAGCCAATAAATATTTTGGTAATTTTGTAATTAAAAGAATTATAAAGCTTAGAGATGTGAAGAGACTTAACTACTCAAAGAGGCGTGCCACATGCCTTTTAAGTTGAGTTTAAATTAAAAAAGAAGCTTACTCACACTATATATAAAGACAAATTTTTGGGCCTATTTATCCCCTCTATTTTTTCGGGCCTAGGGCGGTCGCCCCTGTTGCACCCCCTAGGACCGGCCCTGATCATAACCTATAAATGATGTGGCAGTGATGGGGTAGTGAGGTGATCATGAATGGCTTCAACAATTGTCACATAAAAAATTCCACGATTCATCCAAATTCATATATACTTTCCGCAAAGTGAAACAAATAAAATGGTGAAATCGAAAGTAATAAAAATGAGAATAAGTCAAATATAATACTCCGTAAAGAACTTTAAAAAGGCAACACGCTAATTCAGAGGGCCCACCTCCATGTTTTTTTGCTTTTTCTTTTTGAAAAAAAAAACACTTTCCTTAAAGCACACAATCACACCTACGGAGTATGTATATATATAGAGAGGAGTAGTAAGTTAAAGGAATAAAGATAGATAGATAGATTCACTGCAAGTAAAATGGCGGGCAAAGCAGAAAGCACGACGAGGATGGAACAAGTGCCTTCAATAGGTACACATATTAAGAGTTTATTATGGAATTCAAAATAATGGAGTACGTAGTACCGAATAATATGTATGGAACATGTGCTTCGATTTTGCTATCATAACAGGGCAAATTATACCGTACACCCGGTTGTACGGTTCTCACCGTACAACCGGGTATTTTTGTAATTAATTAGAATTTCGATGGTAAAGGTCGGAGCTCTGTTCTTCTCTGTTCTGCGTTGTTCGCTGAGGTGTGGTGAAAAGCCGCCGACCTGGGCGTTCCTATCTCCCAAAAAATCGATGGTCTTCTTCTTCCTTTTCCGTTCCTTTCTTTTCTTTTCATGCGGCAGCCGGCACGTAGCCAATCCAAATCTCAACGAGAAGCTTCTTCACCAACGTTTTTCTTTTCTTGATCTACGCTTTCCTTTCACCGTCCCCACAATCCCACTAACCATCAATTCTATTGCTTTTCATCAATATATCTATGATACTTTAATATTATATTTTATATTGTGTTTTAAAACTTTCAGCTTATGAATTTCTAATATAAGTTTTATGCTATGCTCAAAATGAGTATATTGTTATAATGAATGTGCATAAATGAGATTTTTGAGTGTTCATAATGAATATATGAGCACATTAGAAAAATCATATGAGCATCCACAAATGAAAATTTGAGCATATTAGAAAATTCAAATGAAGTACACAATAAAAATTCGACATGAGCATGCACGAATAAGAGTTCATTATAGACACGAGACCACAAATCATGATACTCAATTGCAGATTCTAATACTCAATAACGGAGGTTTGATGTTTATTGAAAATGTCTTGATGCTCAACGAATAAAACTTATATTTTTCATATCAATGCTCATCTTGTAAGTTACATATGCTCATTTGTATAGGTCTGATGCTCATTAAAAATTCATTAATGCTAATTTAATACAAATCATTATTTTCATCTCAATATAGGAGATTTGATGCTCAATGAAAATATAGTGATGTCCAATTAACACGATTTTTTATCAATGCGCATTGTGTAGCTACACATGTTCATTTGGTACTAATTTTATGCTCATATGTAAAATGGCATATCAATGCGAGTGTAAAATGTTCAACGAAAAATTTACAATGTTCATATCGATGCTCATCTTGTAAGTTACGCATGCTCATTTGTATAGGTCGAATCCTCATTAAAAAGTCATTAATGCTCATTTAACAGAAATCGTGATTATCATCAATCTCAATAGAGGATGTTTGATACTCAATGAAAATGTCGTGATGTTCAAATAACAAAGCAGCTAACAAATTCATTAATACTCATTTTGTAAGTTACGTATGCTCATCTGGTAGAGATTTTATGCTCATTTTCTAAATGTCATATCGATGCATTTTTTAAAGTACTATTTTACATTAATTCACATATTGAAATTCACAGGAGTTGATTATAAATATAAGGGATCCCTAAATATAATTTAATAAAATTTTATAAAAGAAAAAATAACGAAAAGAAAGTGAATTAGAAGTTATGAAGCGGAGATCAAAATTCTCAATATTAGACTCCTAATACTCAACAGAATGGGTATGATGCTCATTAAACGTTTATTATTGCTCATTCACTAGAAACCGTGAATTTCATCTCAATAGCGGATGTTTGATGCTCAAATATTAAATGTGAATATATAAAACGTGAAATGAGTATCAAAAAGTTCAAAATGAGCATTACGCCAATATGCATGGATATGACATTTAAGTTGTCTCGTGTAATGCTCATTTTAAAATGAGCATTACACCAATATCAAATGAGCATATCTAATTTATGAAATGAGCATAGAAAAAATTTAAAAGCTCATTTAAAATCTCGAGTATGCTTAAATATCAATTTGTATATTCAGTATGCTCAACAGAATAGGTCTGGTGCTCATTAAAAGTTCATTATTACTCAATCTCCAGAAGTCGTGATTTTCATCTCACTAACACCATATAAAAAAATTATAAACATATTTATATAAAGTAATAGTATGATACATAGATCAAATAAATACTTCAAAAATATGAATTAGTCTTTTAATATAGTAATAATGAGCAAAAGCAAAAGAATAGTTAATATTATAATTACTATTAATAATACACAGTATGAAACTATATAGGATAAGTAAAATAAATGAACTGATTATCTCAACAAGATAAGTCAACGAGATGGTTGGAAGGTTGCTTATCCTACCTCATGTCGTGGGATCGAATCCCGCTGGGGTTTTTATTTTTTTTAGTGAAGGAGCCCACCAGTCAAATTTAATAATTGGGCTGGATGTACGTACAACCGGGTGTACGATATAGGGACTCGTCATAACAGGGGCATGGTGTCTAACGCCGTTAGAAAAATTAATTCCGATTTTCAAAAGTCTCCGAAAAATTGAAGAAATACTAGGAGGTGCGTCTCGTCAAGAATATTTAATATTTATAAGTTTATCGTATGTTTTACTTATTTAGGTAATTCACTCATTTTTAATATATTCATTAGTATCAATTATTAGTTTTAACTGTTAGGTCGTGATTTTGTTCGAATTGAAAATGAACCCTTAAAATTCACTTTTCACCTCTAACCAGGGGCGTAGCTAGGGGGCCAACCCTGCCCCAGCCCACTTCAAAATTTAAAAATATCTATATTTTTTAGTGTAAAAAATTCGTGTAAAATTGTTTTAAAAAATATTCATTGTACAGATCCAATCTAACCCAGTGCTCTAGCTCCGCCCCTGCCTCTAACATTAATCTAATACTTAATATTAATTTTTCTTAAAAAACGTATTTAAGCTAGTAATATTTTAAATTTTTGATCACATAGCAATTAAAACTAATAGGTAGTAATTGATACGGTTTCTTTTTTATCACATATCGTGCAAAATAGTCTCCGGTTTCCTTTTTGGATCGTCCCAAAAAATAGTTCACATTTGTTTTTTTGTAAAGTTTTGTGTGACTACCATTCATTTACTTTTCTCTTATTCAACCACAATCATACATTTTCACTTTATACCTCTATCTTAGTCACCACCTTTCTCCCGTTCGTAACCGTCATCTTCCTCTTTGGCTCAAACATCTTTCTGCCGCTCCTATCCTCATCCCTCTGGCTCCAATTTATTTCCAAGCTGCTGCTATCCCCTTGCTAATCTCCCTAAGCTACTGCGTTTGATCAATTTTTTCGATCAAAAACTCCGTCAATTTCAGAAATTAAAACCAAGTATCCCTTCTCTTACTCTTCTTCCTCCAATTTTTTTTCTTCTTCTTTGCATTCTCCTTCTCCTCCGCTTACTCCTCTTTCTTCCCCTGTTTTTTTTTAAAGGGATAAAGGCCAAAAATGACACTAAGGTCATTTAAAAAACCCATATTGGACACTAAACTTTGAAGTAGACCAAATTAACACAAACTTTAAGTTTTTGCATCATATTTGGACACCGGTGGCTTTCCCCGTCAATTATGAGGTTACCGTCCATCTTTGCCCAAAACTAAGAACTCCGGCTCCCATTTCTTTTCGCTGAATGCTAAAATTCATCACACCCCACATAGAGGGCGAACTCTTAGAAATCCAAACCAGACACATATACATCCTCCCTCATCGCCCAACAGCATGTTTTGACTCCAGCGAACCTGCAAAACTCATCACTTATTTCCCCCCTTCACGCAAAACCATGTTCTAGCTCCGGCAGATCTGCGAGACTCACCACTTGCACTCGGAATTTGAAATAGCAATGCAAACAATGGCAGGGGATGGAGGAATTGACCGTCCACACTCCTTGTTTGTTCCATTTCGTCGGCCTAGATTGGGGTGTTACTCCTTCCGGTAATTTTCCCAGCTCATTCTATTTTGAAACAATAATATGTGAAACTGATGTTCAAGCTAGCTATGGTTTTCCTTGATTTGGAGGAAAATAAAGATGTGATTGGATTGAATATTGCTTATTATAAGTGAATTTGGATCGATTGGACTGAATATGGCTTTGTAAGAACGAAAGAAACAGAAAAGTGGACAGTCCAGAGTGTAGTGGGGCAGAGGAATCAATTTGGGTAACACTAGTACTAATAGCTTCTTCCAAGTATTGGATGCCGATGCACTTCTTGTCTTGGACTCTGGCAAGTGAAGGCCAGTTTTTCCACGAAGGTGGAAGAAGGGTCAGGGTAGACCCTTGCAGGGCTGGATGGGGACAGGAAAAGAATGAAGACAGAGGACGGAGGAAAGTGAATGGCTGGAGACGGGTTAAATGAGCAGAAGAGACGGTGGTGGAGAAGTGAACTGGAGAAGCAACGATCGGAGTCCGCTGGTGCAGTCGGCCAAGCTGGTGAAGAAATTGACAGTGGGGCGGGGGCTATTAACGATCTAACGTTGTTGGTCTTAACGGAAATATAAGTGGGTGGCCAACTATAACCCAAATAAGTTGATTATGTGTTAATTTGGTCTACTTCAAAGTTTAGTGTCAAATTTGATTTTTTTTAAATAACATTAGTGTCATTTTTTGCCTTTCTCCCTTTTTTAAATGCCATGTTTACTCTCAAAATGTCATGAAAATGATATTTTTTGGCTTCTTGAGATAAAGAAGCCGATTAAAAAAGGCATTCACCAAGCATATTGGTTATCTGGTCAACCAATCAAAGCAACTAAACTTACTCAAACCAACCAAAAAAATGATGGCTAAAGGGTCAAATAGGTCATCGAACTAACTTAAAAAGTGCAAATCACCCCTTATATAGGAAGCTCTGTCCGGCCATCGCCATTTGGGGCGGTTCCCGGTGGAATTGTTTGATGATATTTTTTGAGCATCTTCTTCAATAAGTCTAGTTTACCCATACCAAAATTCACATAAAAATTCAACCGGGAAAGCAGTCAAATGAGTTTCTGAAATATACTGCGCCGCTTTGGCTAATGGTGATTTGCAGGCTTGCGGCGCTCTTACTCTTGTGCAAGACGACCAAGACCTTATTAAACCTTAGTCCTTTAGTTCATTAGATAATTGCGTTTAATTGGAACTTGGAAACCACCGTCCAGGAAATTAATTAGGTTAGTGGGATGGGGTGGTTTATGAATCGGGAGTTTGGGAGACACACGGGTTGTACAAAGAGTTAGAGCCAATAAATATTTTGGTAATTTTGTAATTAAAAGAATTATAAAGCTTAGAGATGTGAAGACACTTAACTACTCAAAGAGGCGTGTCACATGCCTTTTAACTTGAGCTTAAAGAGAGTCTTTCCACCTAAGAATCTTAACTCCTTAAATGAGGCTTCCCTTTATAAGGGGTTCAAAATCTCATGGGTTTTTTGGTGCGGGAGAAAACCACACTAGAAACTCATCATTTTCCTATTTTCTTCATTTCAACGAGTGAACTTCGAGAATCAATTTCTCATTCATTTGTTATCCGTTTTGAGCGTACCACATATCGAATTGTAGCCATTAACAAGGAAAATCCGAAACTACTTTGACCCGATCCAAATCGGAAGTGGACCCCACTCAAAATATCGACCCGAAAATGACCATTTAATGTAATTTATTAACACATTTTCCAACATCAATAACCCAATCGAGCTCGGCTCCTCCACATTGCAAAAGTGTACGTTTTTCACTTTCTCTTGAAAGTCCATGAAGAATTCACTATTCGAGTAATTTGCTGACTAATGATTATTGCATACTTCCTACTTCGTATTTTGTACTGCATATGTGTTATACTATGTATATTGTTAATCTGTTTGCTCATGTGTAGATTTGATGATCAAGCCCTTTTTATGTTTTATTTAGAAATAATAAATAAACAATCGAAATATAATACATCCTAATTTGTCCTATAAAAAAATTTAATCTATTGAAGTGTTATTGTGTTTGTACAGTAACTTACTAGCTTTAGTATGTTAAAATTAACAATAGAAAATTTGCAACTAGCTATAATAAATAGTAGGGAAAACTATCAAATAAGCCCCTCTACTATACCGAAAAAGTCGATTAGGCCCTCGTACTTTACAAACACTCAATTAAGCCCTCGAACTATTAAAAAATGTTCAATTAAGCCCTTTCGGTCGGTAAGTAACCGGTTTCCCGGTTAAATGTAACCCGTTTCCCGGCAGCCGCCGTTGCTGGGGTTCGAGCACATCGTCGTCGTCGTCGTCACCGTTTAATCGGGAAACCGGTTACTTACCGACCGAAAGGGCTTAATTGAATGTTTTTTAATAGTTCAAGGACTTAATTGAGTATTTGTAAAGTACGAGGGTCTAATTGACTTTTTCGGCATAGTATGGGGACTTATTTGATAGTTTTCCCTAAATAGTATTACGATGATAATAGAATTCCAATTGATTGTCTTGCTTACTTTGTATGGAGTAGAAAGAGATGTATTTGGAATTGTTACAGATGAAATTATAAAATATCTTTCAAAAGTTGATATTCAAAGGCACCCAGGGACGTACCCAAATTCAATGACACCTAGGGACGTAACTAGAATCGAAGCTTGGGTTAGGCTGATATAAAAAAAATAGTTAAATTTTTAATAAACATAATTTTTACTCTAAAAATACAAAAAAAAAATGGGATGAGCTGGGACCCCGGTTAGCCCCGTCTACCTCCGCTCCTGAAGACACCGATTGTGATTGATCTTTTTAAGTTTTTTCGTGTACAAAAAAAAATGATGCACGGTGGATGATCATTTCCAAAAAAAATGTATGTTATTGTTGTTATGGAAAATGTAAGACAATGAGAAATTGTTAAATAACCTGAGTCCTGAGGTGAGCTAAAAATGAATCTAATAGTTGAACAATACAAAATGGATTAAAGTTGGAGTGCAGATATGTGAAAATACTTATGTCATTCTTAGGGTGTTTTTAATTGGATTGAATGTTTCTGATATGATCTAATCTGGTTTTATTTGGCCTGGTTTAGTCTAGTCTGGTAGATATCTGTACTATATGTATTTTATAAATGTCGAAGTCTGATCTGGTGTGGTCTGATCTGTTTAAGCCTAACCTGGTTTGTTCTGATTTGAAATTGAAATATGTCCAAACAGAAACATCCTTAAAAACTCTTTAATATGAATTTGTCAAAAAATGTTTAAATGATGTTTATATAAGTTTTTCTACGCAATATAAATTTGTCAAAAAATGTTTAAATAATGTTTATATAAGTTTTCCTACTATTTTAAATGAGTTGAATGTTTCCAAAAGTGAGTTGAATCCCTATTTGAAATAATAATGGTTTTAAGCACATTTGATTTCAAAACACATTTAATCTAATCATAATGACGTACTAAGTAGTTCTTTTTGCTCCGTTTGATAACTCATATTTTTAACTAATAAATAAAGTATACATCAAAATTTACTTAATTTAATTATTACATGCATGGAATTGTAAATTTTGTATTTATTTACCAATAAAGTTAAAGTCAAAAATATGAGTTATGAAACGGATCACTCTCATTGCTTATTGTGAAATGCTTATTTAATTAGAGAAAATTAGGAACCATACATTGATTCATATATTCAAAAACAAATATCCATATATCCATACTCTGTATTCAAATTCTAGAATTTTAGGATTTACCCATACCCACCTTCACAGTCTATCTAACACTACACATGTATGCGGTATACTCCGTATTTTCTAGATCGGATTTCCAGAACGCCTCCCCTTCTCCCTTCCCCACCTTCGTCGCTTTCGATTTTAACACACAAATGCTGTTTGTAATCTCCACTACCTGTAACTTCCACTGCTGACTTCCCCTATTTTTACCTCCAACCGCCTCGATAGTTTGATTGTCGCCGGATTGAAGACCTGTAGAGCATCCTCGAGCTCTCTTCTTGCTAGGGTCGGATATCTGTTCGCAAGTGCTGGCGGACGGACCTCCAATCGACGAACTGAGAGAAACCCACATCCTCCGTCCAGCATCGTAGTCCCTGAAAAGTCTGCTACTGCGCTGCATCGGCCGCCACGCGCTGACGCCGGAGGAACGGCGCTCGGCTCTGACGCACGGAAAACTGGAGACCCATCTCTGATTAGTTTCCCTCACTCCATCTCTCAGATCTTGCTAGATGTGATGATGAAAGTCACCGATGGGGGATCTCCCTAATGACACCCAAGTAGCCGATGTGCCGAACCAAGACCTCCCATCCCCTCAAACAAACGCCTCTTTGTTTCGCTGTTATTATCTTTGATTCCATCTGGAATATGAGGCTATTCTCATCGATGTTGCCTGACTTTGCATTATAACCCCTTCTGTTTTCTCGACAGAGGCCTTTGTCTCTCAAAAGGTTCTTTTTTCCTACTCCGTATTTTTTTTTTCAGACTCAGATCCCTAATTACGTGCAGAGATTCAAGAGATCCTTCTTATGCTATTACATTTTGATATCCGAATGAATGTGAGAAGCTGCTTCATGCCCCATGGTTTCTTTTATAGATGAGCGTTGCATTGCAACTTGTTAGGAATGAGACACTCCATCGGTTTCACTGTTCCCACCTCCCCATTCAACCAATAAAAATAAAGTAATTCAAACAGTGATTTGTGGACATCTTCTCACGTATCTCATGTCAACAGTTCACATACACCTCCCTTTAGAACCAATAGGAATTAGCTGCAGGATATTTTAGCACTGCGCACCTCTCTTTGAACCAATAGGATTGGTTTGCTAAAAATTCTCATGAATCTAAGCCACGAAAATGATTAGGCTTGGTGGATAACCCGGATTCACACAATCTGTTTTAGTATGTTTTAGTGTGTATGAACAGTGCGAATATATTTTTTGACCATTAGGAGTGCAGGAGCATGCTTGCTTTACTGTTTCTACCATTTTTTAAGCAACCGGAACCCATCTATCGGACCCACCAAAATGCATTCTTGTTTACCCATTGTTGTTTTTTGTTTTACCATGCGAACCAACACATTAGATCATTGTTACTTCAACTATTTTTTGTTTTACCATGCGAACCAACATTTTTTTTCAACTATAACTTGATGTTGACATTTTTGGGAGGGAATACTATTCACAAAATTCTTTTGCTTTTATATTAGTATATATAGATTCAGATATCTCATTATATTTTGTTCCGCCCCCAATAGTTCAATTTGATGGATCCGCCACTACCTATAGTTGCAAACTTCATATCTTTTGATCATATCCGTACTTTTTATATATACATGATTAATTTTCACAGCTGCACCTACATGTGGAATTAATTGAATTAATTTCATATCCGTACTTCATATTTTTTGTTTGCAGCATCCGCTCCAAAAAAACCTAAAGGTTATCCAATACAAACTATGGATAGAAACTCTCCACCGGAAATGAAGAATTCAGTATTTCTCTTGAACAAGACAAGGGCTGGGAAGGAGTAAGTGGTTGGTTTGAAACACCATGATTAATTAGTTCTAGACTTCTAGGAGTCTCCGGAGCTCCTCTCCTTAGAACGGGAATCGGCTAGGATTTGCTCAGGCAGTTGGAAGTATTATGTTTCGACATTTATTCCCTCTGCTTGGACAGACTACATATCGCATGAGATTAGGCCCACACTTGGGCCTCATCAACTAATTTTACTCCTCTAAGTTCATTTTATTTTTTCATAGCCGGGCCCACCAGGAAGTTAATGAATCTTGTGCATTCATTTCCACATCTAATGGCTCAAAATGAGCCAAAAATGCACAAAATTCGGACAAAATCACGGTGGCAATTTCGTAAATATGTTGCACTTTTTCGCCACCGTGAAAACGTGCAACAGAAACACGAAAAAGTGCAAGCGAAACATGAAAAAGTGCATATCTTCGCACTTTGCACGGGAAGAGGCATTTTTATTTGAACTTTTCCCAATCTCTCTCTCTCTCTCTCTCTCTCTCTCTCTCTCTATATATATATATATATATATATATATATATATATATATATATATGGAGCGGTTCCAATGAGAACCATGCTTAACGTGAGAATGTGAGAACCATGCACATTTAACACAATCTGGTGCACTATGAGGCTCATCTACTACACTTTTTAAAATTTGGTCAAAATATGTCAACATCAAATAAATGAAGTGGCTGATTCGTAAGTATTTTGTCAACACGAAAATATGCAAGATATAAACGATGTAGTGCATCACATTTGCTTAAAAGTGGAGTTCTCACGTTCTCACGTTAAGCATGGTTCTCATTTGATCCTAAATATATATATAAGGGTTCGAAACTCAATGGAGTGGTTTCAGCCCTGATTACTCCAGGCCCCCAGGCCCTATATATATATATATATAGGGATGAGTTCAAATGAGAAGACATCTTAACGTGTAAAATGAGAATTAATTTCAGCCGTCCAGAGTGTTGATCTGATGCACAATAACCCCTATCTGATGCACTTTCGAATAGACCTTATTTGATGCACTTTTCGAAATACACCTTTTCGAAAAGTGCATCAAATAAGGTCTATTCGAAAGTGCATCAGATAGGGGCTATTGTGCATCAGATCAACACTCTGGACGGTTGAGACTCATTTTACACATTAAGACTTTGTTTTTATTTGATCCAAATTCTATGTGTGTGTGTGTGACAACTTTTCATGTCCAGCCGGCCTGACTGGAACCGCCGTCCGGCCTAGGGCATTTCAGGCACTTCCCGGTGGAATTTGTTGATGAAATTTTTTGAGCATTTTCTTCATCAAGTCTAGTTTATCCATACCAAATTTTAGCTAAAAATTCAATCGGAAAGACAGTCAAATAATTTTTGGAAGATAACTGCGCAATTTATAACTATTTAAGAGCGCATTTATCTTCCAAAAATTAGTTGACTGTCATCCCGATTGAATTTTTAGCTCAAATTTGGTATGGATTAACTAGACTTGATGTAGAACATGCTAAAAAAGTTTCATCAAAAAATTTTACCGGGAAGTGCCCAAAATGCCCTCGTCCAGACAGCGGTTCCCCTTCAGGCCGGCTAGACAGGAAGACTACTCTATATAGATAATCACAACGTACTTTTTAGACAATGTGTCTTGTGATTAAAGTTCATCTAATCCATCCATTTGCAAGTGATTAAAGACCAAGATTTGTTTTCACTTTTCATGGGAAAACTTATCCCATGAAAAGTGTTCCTGGGACAAGATTTGTTACTTGAACTCATCCATTCCATATATATATATATATATATATATATATATATATATATAGAGAGAGAGAGAGAGAGAGAGAGAGAGTAATGTTCCTATCAGGACCTCCAAAAACGGACCTCCGTACGGACCTCGGCATTTGGGCCCCTTCCCAGTATAAGTTTTTGATGAAATTTGTTGAGAATGTTCTTCATTAGGTCTAGTTTACCCATACCAAATTTCAGCTAAAACTTCCATCGGGAAGGCAGTCAAACGATTTTTGGAAGTTAACTGCGCAGTTTATATACATATAAAATGCAGTTAACTCCCAAAAATTATTTGACTGTCTTGCCGATGGAATTTTTAGCTTAAATTTGGTATGGTTAAACTAGACTTGATGAAGAACATGCTTAAAAAATTTCATCAAAAAATTCCACCGGGAAGGAGCCCCAACGCCGAGGTCCGTACGGAGATCCGTTTTTGGAGGTCCTGACATGAACTTTCCTCTATATATCTAACAACATTATAATTGTGAATGAGGGTTGGTACCCTTAATTTGTGTCAATACATCTTTACATAAAAATTTGTACATTATGCTTAGAAAATGATACCTAACTTTTCAAGTGACTTTAATAACCCTAATGGTGTAAACTTCCGTTAAGTTACTTGATTCATAGACATTTAAATACTACTTACGATGATAAATTCGTGAACTTTAAATAATGTAATATGGGAACTTTTTATATTGATATAAGTAATAATCAAATTTGGTATATTAATATGCACTTTTTAAACCTTTTCAAGTTTGACTTTTTTATAGTTAATTGCATCGATTGTTTTTACAATAATGAAGCAAACACTATAAAAAATTTATGGGATTGACACGGATTTGGCACAGATTTATCAATTTTTTCGTGTCAAACTGTTTTTGGCATAGATTTGGCATATCCACGTCAAAATCCCTGCCAATTTTGGAAAACTCATACCAAAAATCTCTGTCAATCTCGTATTTTTTTTTTGCAGTGAAATACTTCATATGTATTTACATGATAATATAAACCTTTTACTATAATGAATATTTCTCCTCAAATATACCTAAAAAAATTGTTTGTACCGATCAAGTTGAACTTCTCCTCTTGTATACGCCTCTACTCATACTTAACAGAAATTAAGGTGATCAACAATACTATTTTTAGAGTTTTAATGTGTTAAGTTTTTTTACTTTGTAATTCATCAAACAACACTACTGGCTCATTATCCACGTAAATAAGGGTGGCCGAAAAAATATTATTAAACATTGGGCAAGTTTTGCCAAAAAAACATTGGGCATGAGTTATCGCGCCTTGCGCGATCAATCGCTAGTATATATATACATATATATATATATATATGTGTATGTATATATATGTATATATATAACGCAGTTTGAGCAAATGAGTTGAGCAAAAATTTCAACCGGGAAGGTCGTCAAATGATTTTTGAAAGAAAACTGGTCCGGAATATACATATAAAACGCAGTTTTCTTTCAAAAATCATTTGACGACCTTCCCGGTTGAATTTTTTGCTCAAATTTGGTATGGATGAACTAGACTTGATGCGGAACATACACAAAACATTTCAGCCAAAAATACCACCGGTTCTCAGGGGTTCTCACGGGTTCTCATTTTAAGAGGGGTTCTCACGAGAACCCTCCCCTATACCACCGGGAAGGCCCCCAAAAGGAGGAGGCCGGACGGCGCTCCGGTCAGGAAATTCCTGACCGGAAGATTACTCTCTCTCTCTCTCTCTCTATATATATATATATATATATATATATATATATATATATAGAGAGAGAGAGAGAGAGAGAGGGAGGGAGGGAGTTGATCTGGTTAGGCGTGCCTGGCCAGAGTCGCCGTGCGGACTTGCCCGTTTGAGGGTTTTCCCGGTGGAATTTTTTGATAAAATATTTTGAGCATGTACCCCCATCAAGTCTAGTTTATCCATATCAAATTTTAGCACAAAATTAGTTTATCCATACTCCCTCCGTCTCGCAATGAAGTTTACGGTTTGACTTACACACATACTTGTGTAGGATAAAGTTTTATTTGACTTCCCATGTATATCCTCACTTTATGTCAAATCAAATCAAGCAAAAGGTAGATAAAAAGTAAGGGTAGTTGTGACTTTTTTTAAAAGTAATTTCCTTTTAAAGAAATAAGAACTTATTTTTGGGACATCTATAAAACGAAAGTGAGAGCTTCTTTATGGGACGGAGGTAGTATATACTTCCTCCGTTATTTTTTCCCGGTGAGTGAAGGTGGTGGTGATAGGGTAGCAGAGGCGGCGGTGATTTATTTTTTTCATTTTTTGATTTTTTTATTATTTAAAACAAATAAAAATTTTGTTTGACAAATATTGTATTAATTTTTATTATTTTTGTATGATTTTTTTTATTGTTTTTATGATTTTTATGAATTAAAACATTTCAAAAGCTACAAGGTATATTTGTCCAAGCACACATAAATTAGTTCGGTTAGTAATTAAAAGCAATGTAGTCCTATTTGTGATTGTGGATTATCTTTAATTTTATTCCCCATAACTTTTACTGATATGTCTAACTAATACCATTATGCTTAATACATTCATCTTCTTTTTTCAAGGGTTTTTGTTCTAACTTTTTTTTAAATTTGGTTATACCAGTATTTGTTATGCGTGAATTTTTTGCATTTTATGAAATTATAGAGCCTCCAAAATAAGGAAATATGAACCCGAATAGTTACTCATATGAGCCAAATCCTATTTTAGTATTGACTACTATTATAAAATTTCAAATTGTTTTTTCATAACTTAGTATATTACATTTTGTGAGTAATCTTCCGGTCAGGTATACCTGACCGGAGCCGCCGTCCGGCCTCCTCCTTTTGGGGGCCTTCCCGGTGGTATTTTTTGCTCAAATTTTTTTTGTATGTTCCTCATCAAGACTAGTTCCTCCATACCAAATTTAAGCAAAAAATTCAATCGGGAAGATCGTCAAATGATTTTTGCAAGTTAACTGGTCCGGAAAATACATATTCCGGACCAGTTAACTTGCAAAAATCATTTGACGACCTTCCCGATTGAATTTTTTGCTGAAATTTGGTATGGATGAACTAGACTTGATGAGGAACATACACAAAAAATTTGAGCAAAAAATACCACCGGGAAGACCCCCAAAAGGAGGAGGTCGGACGGCGGTTCCTGTCAGGTATACCTGACAGGAACATTTGTGTACATTTTGTATAGTTTATTAGGATTTTTTTTTTCCAAAATAATGGAATAAATAGAATTGTTATGAAATTAGGATCGAGTTATAAATATTTACTAAAATAGTGCTAAGCTAAACTATTGTTAGCAAGAATGCCAAACAAAATGGCGACTCTCTTCAAACAAGAACATACCAAGCTCGCCGGGGAGGAAGATATGAGGGGAGCTGGTGATGGGCCCATATAAAATAAAAAATCCCTCTTTTTGTTAAACTAATACTTCCTCTATTTTTAAATAAGTGCAACAGTCAACATTTCACACTTGTCGAGGCACAACTTTGACCATTAATATATATAATTCTCTATCAGCAAAAAATTTAAAAAAATCAGTTTTTGAAAATTTACTATGAGACAAATTTAATAATATATTTTTCAAAAGATATATACTAATACATCAATAAATAAAATGTAGTCAAAGTAGAACATGTGAATAATGTAAATTTCACATGTTGCACTTATATACTCTGTATCAAATTTTCTGACTTTTTATTATCTTTCATATGACACCAATATTAATATATAGGGAAATTTTCAGATAAGTCCTCATAGTATGTCGAAAAAGTCAATTAGGTCCTCATACTTTATTATCAACAAATTGAATCCTCAAACTTTATAAAAATGATCAATTGAGCATGTTAACCGGTAAATTGCATATGTGCCTGTCAATGTGGTTTTTTATATTTTTTCGTTTTCTTTTATTTTTCCGTTTTCCGCCTAACTTTCACACTGACGGACGATGCCCAGTTCTTGCCAAACTATCATCATCTTCCTCCAAGGCCAGTCGAGTTGGTTGAAAATTGTGCGACATAAAAACAAAAAACAAAGGAGGGAATCTCAGCACTATGCCACCATCCAAATATTAGTTACACTAAGTATGTTTTTCATGGATTTTCATCTCGACAGTTTTTGAAAAAGAAGATAAATTGGCCTTGTTTTAACTTTTCCCCCTTTTCATGCCCTAATAATCGAATAAATTGACAATATTTTATTATAATATACGTATGTACAAAAAATTTAAAGTCATATATTTGTAGTTATTGGAAGTGGGTTCGTTTCCAATTAATATATTGGTTTGTCTTCTTGTCGGAACCGACCTTGGTGAGAGCGTGAAAACTTCACTTTTAAGCAAATGTGATACACTATATCATTTATACTTTACACATTTTCATGTTGGTAATATATTGCATATTTACTAATCTGTCACCACTATAGAGTGGCGGATTAGTAAATAGGACTAAACTAATCCCTAAATGCCCAAATAGGCTTATGTTATTTATCTTCCTAAAATATGACTAAAGTATGCCCTACACTTCTATTCTTCTCCTACCATAATTTAATAATTAATAGGATAATCATATTTCATATTACCTCCGTCTCAATGGACTTTGCACATTTGAATTACGTGAGAAATAAGAAAAGTAAAAATTATGTGGTTCAGATTTGGACAGAGGAGAAAGAAATAAGCAGAACAACAAATTAATTTTTTTAACGGGAAAGTCCAGAGTTTTTTGGGATAATAAAAAAGGAAAAGTTAACAGAGTCCAATGACACAAAAGGAATAATCCGTATATGTATATATAGTCTTGCATTAGATAGTATGTGCTATTTGAAGGTCATTTCGTCTGCGCAGGGAGCACAAGGATTGTTGTACCCGAATCGCCAAATGTTGTGGGGATTTACTCTGCTGTTAGAAGCAGTAGTGCTACACGTACAACGGGTCTTATTACCTCATTAGAAACAAACAAAATACATATGAATACTATAAAGGATTTCAGCCATTTATATCTCATAGTTTACATCCTTAACTTATATCCTTCTTTATTTGTAACCTTCCCATTTTTCCCCGATTTATTCCCTTATTAGTTTCTCTTTCCCTTGTAAACTGCTAGGGTACATATACCCGTGAAACTCAATGAAATAATGCAAGTTTTTCAGTCTCAAAATCCTTAATGGTATCAGAGCAGTTTTTTAGACCACACACCAAAACCTAAATCGCTGCCAGAATCATGGCTAACGGCGAAAACGCGAACAAGGATGAAGAATCTCGTGTCGATGCCAATTCACCATACTACCTGCATCCGTCTGATTATCCAAGGCAGATGCATGTGAATGACGTTCTTACGGACGTAAACTATGGGGATTGGGCACAAGAGATGAAGAACTTCTTGTTTGCAAAGAACAAAATGGGATTTGTGGACGGAACCATAAAGATGCCGGCAGAAAACTCATCAGAGTACATGGCATGGATGCGCTGCGACGCCATGATCAAAGGATGGCTCACCACAGCCATGGAGAAAACGATCAGGACAAGCGTTAAATATGCCAACACGGCGGCAGAAATATGGACAGACCTTGAGGAAAGATTTGGGAAGGAGAGCGCTCCTCGAGCGTACGAACTGAAGCAGACCCTCACTGCGACACAACAAGGTGGAGACTCTGTGTCGGCCTACTACACAAAGATGCGAGCATTATGGGACGAGATCCAATCAGTTTCTCCTACACCTAAATGCACATGTGGCAAATGTACATGTGATTTGGGAAAGAGGTTGAATGAAGCCAAAGACAAGGAGAGGCTCTACGAGTTCTTAATGGGGCTTGACAGTGGATTCTCGACCATAAGGACACAAGTTCTTGCAACTAAACCAATTCCCACGCTCGGTGCAGCATATCACTTTGTATCCGAAGATGAACAACAAAGAGCCATCTCGGCAATGAGGAAACCGACACAGGAAGCTGCTGCGTTTCAAAGTTTTTCCCAAAACAAACGAGAGACATCAAATAATTTAGCCGGACAGCGAGACAAAAGAATGACAAAGGACACCAGAAACACTGGTGGGGAAATGACAGAACACTGCACCTTCTGTGGTAAGGATGGGCACAATCGAGAAGGCTGTTTTAAGAGAATTGGCTACCCAGAGTGGTGGCCGGGCAAAGGAAAGAAAGAAAAGGGAAAGGCAAAAGCAGCATGGGCTGAGGCAGATTCAAGTCCAATACCAGGTCTCACAAATGAGCAATATCGCAGGATGATAAAACACTTCTCAAATGAAGGAAACAACATCTCGGCTAACTTGGCAGGTAAATTTGGCAAAGATGGAATCTGGATTGTTGACACAGGTGCGACGGAACACATGACTGGAAATGATGATTTACTTGAAAACAAGGATAATACCAATGGAGAGACACCGGTGATCATACCTAATGGTGACTATGTTCCAGTCAAGGGAAGCGGTTCCTGCATATTACCAAATGGAATAAAGATTGCTAAAGTTTTATACATTCCAAAATTTAAATGCAATCTTTTATCTGTTAGTCGTCTAACTAAGGATCTGCATTGTGCTATAACCTTCTTCCCTGACTTCTTTATTGCCCAGGATCTGCGGACGAGGAGCTTGATTGGTGTGGGGCAGTGTGATGGAGGCCTCTATCGAATGGGTGCAGTTGCAAGGAAGGCGTTGATGACAACACCGGACGTCTCCATTTGGCACAAAAGATTAGGACATGCTTCTGAGGCAAAGTTACATCGAGTTGATTTTTTGGCTGATTTTACTTTCAAATTAAAGGATAGAGTTTGTGATTCGTGTGTAAAAGCCAAACATACCCGTTTATCTTTTGGGAAAAGTTCTATTAAAACCAGTGAGTGTTTTGATTTGCTACATTGTGATATTTGGGGAAGCTATCGCATGCCCTCTCTCTCAGGAGCTCGCTACTTCCTTACTATTATTGATGACTATAGTAGAGCAGTGTGGGTTTTCCTTATTAAGCATAAACATGAGGCTAGTAATTATCTAGTCAATTTCTGTAATATGATCAAAACACAATTTGGGAAGGATGTAAAAAAAATAAGGAGTGATAATGGTGGAGAATTCACGTCTAGTACCATGACGGAGTTCTATGCTCAACGAGGAATCATGCTTGAGACAACATGCCCTCATACCCCTCAACAAAATGGGGTGGTAGAAAGGAAGCACCGGCATCTACTCGAAATGGCGAGAGCCTTAAAATTTGAAGCAAACTTGCCAACAAAGCTGTGGGGAGAGTGTGTCATGACGGCAGCCTACATAATCAACAGGCTACCCTCGAAGGTGATCGATTTTAAAACACCTTATGAGATCCTATTCAAGCAAAAGCCCACTTACGAACACATGAAAGTGTTTGGCTGCCTCGTGTACGTGAGAAACACAGAAACAAAGGGAGACAAGTTTGAAGTAAGGGGGAGACCGGGTGTGTTCGTGGGCTATCCATTGGGCAAGAAAGGCTATAGAATCTATGACATTGGTGAAAACAAGATCATCACATCTAGAGATGTGAGATTCGTTGAGCAAGTCTTTCCTTTTGCTGTTGCTGAGACACAAAGGGAAGAAAACAAAAGTGATGGAATGAAATTTCTTGATAGCTACTGTGATGGTGACGCAGACTCAAATGGCGTTGGTAACAAAAACTCAGGTAGGGAATGCGAGGGAAGTAACACTCAAGCTGATCCACCTGAAGAACATGAGCTTGCTGCTGAGACAGAATCTGCGATGTCAGAAAATCAGCCCACCGAATCACAAAATCACAACCGAAGAGAGAAGAGGGTGAGAACATTGCCAAGGCATCTTGAAGACTTTGTTGTCAGCCTGCCATCCTCGATAGATCACACACATGCCACACAGGAACAAGGTTCCTCGACGGTACATTCCATTGCTAATCATATTTCATATGAAAAGTTTTCTGATGAACATAAAGCCTTTTTATCTGCCATCAGCTCAAATGATGAGCCAAAATGCTTCAGACAGGCCGCACAACATGAGAAGTGGAGAGAAGCCATGCGAAAGGAGATAAAAGCTCTTGAAGACAATGGGACATGGACTCTTGAAAATCTCCCTAAAGGGAAACGTGCCATTGATTCAAAGTGGGTGTATAAAATAAAATACAAACCAGATGGTGAAGTCGAGCGGTACAAAGCCCGATTAGTAGCAAAAGGGTTCACACAGTTAGAGGGAATCGATTTCCATGATACATTTGCACCAGTAGCTAAGCTGGTGACAGTGCGGACTCTGCTAACAGTTGCCACGAAGAAAGGTTGGATCATCCACCAGCTTGATGTAAATAATGCCTTCTTACATGGAGATCTCCATGAGGAAGTATATATGAGAATACCAGAGGGCTTTGCCAAGGAAGGAGAGACTAGAGTGTGCAGATTGAGGAAGTCACTTTATGGCTTGCGGCAGGCTTCACGTAACTGGTACCAGAAGTTTACTTCAGCTCTCTCAAGATTAAAATTCAAACAAACACATGTTGATGCTTCACTGTTCATATACGAAGATGGGGCTGAATATGTTGCAGCTCTAATATACGTAGATGATGTTATCATCGCGGGAAACAGCAAGGCCAAAATTCAGGAAACAAAGGATTTTCTAAATAGAAAATTCAGCATTAAAGACTTAGGTCCACTAAAGTACTTTCTTGGCATTGAAGTAGCAAGAACTCCCGATGGAATAGTTTTGAGTCAGCGTAAGTACACGCTTGATGTTCTAAATGACAGCGGCATGTTGGGTTGCAAACCGAGCCCCTCACCCATCGAACAAAATCTGCAACTTGATCAATGTGATGGCAGTCCACGTGTTGAAGCTAGTCAGTATCGAAGGCTGGTTGGGCGGCTGTTATACCTTCAAGCAACGAGACCGGACATTACGTATGCCGTTAATATGCTAAGTCAATTTGTCTCTGACCCTCGACAGAGGCACATGGAAGTTGCTATTCGTGTCTTACGTTATCTAAAAGGCACACCTGGACAAGGGCTGTTTATTCCCAAAGAAGGTGGTACCAAGTTGGTAGCTTACTGTGATTCAGATTGGCTTGGATGTGCTTTCACGAGGAGGTCACGAACTGGATATCTCATGCTTTTGGGAGATTCTCCAATATCATGGAGAACTAAAAAGCAAACGGTGGTCTCACGATCTTCAGCGGAAGCGGAGTATAGAGCGATGGCGCATGCAGTGAGTGAAATCCTTTGGTTGCGCTGGCTACTAAGAATTCTAAAAGTAACACAAACTGAGGCAACTCCACTCTTCTGTGACAATCAAGCAGCGAGACATATAGCCATAAATCCGGTTTTCCACGAAAGAACTAAGCACGTTGAAATGGATTGTCACTTTGTAAGAGAACGAGTGGAATCACGAGAAATACAACCAATGTACATCAATACAAAGGACCAGTTAGCAGATACCTTCACAAAGGCTCTGGGAACCGATAGATTACAAGGTATACTTCGCAAGTTGGGCGTTCGAAACTTACACGCTCCAACTTGAGGGGGAGTAAAGGATTTCAGCCATTTATATCTCATAGTTTACATCCTTAACTTATATCCTTCTTTATTTGTAACCTTCCCATTTTTCCCCGATTTATTCCCTTATTAGTTTCTCTTTCCCTTGTAAACTGCTAGGGTACATATACCCGTGAAACTCAATGAAATAATGCAAGTTTTTCAGTCTCAAAATCCTTAATACTATATATTGATCTGATGGTTGTGGAATCGCCAATTGATCTGATGGTTTTATCCTATGTATGCACTCAGTCGTCATATCACTTTAATTTTAATACTACATCTATCTCTAATAGTGTAAGGGTCACGTTTGTCCCGCTACTTTTTACATATGAATAAGCCATACTCCGTATTACGGTATTACCATACTATGTATGCATTGCTTTGCATCTATATATGTACGTAATACAATATAATGATACATCATATTTGTACCAAGTTTTTGTTCAAATACTATAGTATATCACATTGCTTGGATAAGAAATTTACCTGAAAAAATTGGACAGAAAATCTGAAAACTGTTCACACAAATGTGCGTTTTTGTTTTCGTGGAGATGTTTATGTGTCGTGGTTGCATGCAAACTAATCAATGTCGATCCTACCTAAATTCGACCTTAATCAAGCTTCACAAATGGGCCCTATACATAGTGTTGCTTGGTCATATAGATTCATTAAAAGTCAATGATTAATTAAATACTGCAAAAACGCAATTCTTAAATCAAAGTCTTACATTATAGCAACATGACATTAAATGTATTAAAACATTAATTAAGTACAACTCATGGAACTTTTTTAGATGCAAATGTATTAATCAAGTCCGCATAATCTATATTATCAATGAATTCCTTCTCAATTGATCACATAGCTAATTCATTCAATCTTTTTTAGATTTGGTTGAAGATGTACTCTCCGTCTCTCCGAAGTGGTTCTTTTATTCGAAATCAAGTACTATGTACTACGTACTTGTTAATGTTTCGGCCTGACTTTGAGTTAATGATTCATGATTTACTTTTCCTCTTGAAATCAAGACAAAGATTTGGGATGCAAGATACTAAAAAAATGCATAATTTAGTGGAGTCTGTAACAATATATTAGTAACTTTATCTATAAAATACAAAAAATTTAATTTAATTAATTGTGAATTGAGAATTCCAAATTAAATTGAAAAATTGATAACACAAAAGAAAAAAACAAGCACGAATTAACTAGTATTTAAAATTTACTAATTAGCCCATTTGGCATTCACACATGACAAATTAATTATACATCACAATAGCATTTAGCAAATCAATATAAAATTAGAACATTTCTGGAAATACAAACAAATAACTAAATAAGCAAATAAAAAAGCATAGGCTGGTAGAAAACGATAGAACATGGAGCCTAGAAGCCTAGAAATAGAAGTCGAACTTCCCAAGAGGAAAAATGCAAAATAACTAGAAAATACATATGTATAATACTAATATATACTCCATATAATATTTTGGGCCCCTGATATTTACAATTTTTCGGTCCCTGAGGCCCAAGCCTCTCCCTATTAGAAGTTTTGTACTCCCTCCGATCCATCCCATTGGACTTTGCCAACTTTCACTTATTAGTTGTCCCAAAAAACTTTGCCACTTTCCTATCAAAGCAACTAATTTGTGGTTCTGCGCATTTCTCTCTTCTCTGCACAACTTTTAACCACACGGGTTTTACTTTTCTTATTTCTCACCTACTTTGCACTTGGCAAAGTCTACCGGGAGAGAGGTAGTATTAAAATTTTTCTAAATGTAAGCACTAGAATATTCGTCTGGACAGAAGATCCCGTGTCCTCTGGTATCTCTTACCCGACAGAAGTGCTCAAGGTGTTCGTGGACTTGGAGATTTCAGCATGTGCTAGCTCAACTGTTAAACTAACGAGAAATTCTCTAACGGCTAGGAGCCTCTCAACGGAAAAGCTACAGGACGCGCATTTAACGCTCTTTTAATGAGCTCCACTCGTTGAGATATTTAAAGCTGATGATTAACCAAGGATCCAGGCAAATAATATTTAATACGCCCAAAATAGCAAGTCGTCTACTTTTGGAACCAACCGGTCAAATCAACAGTACAAACATTTAATGAAGATGTTTTCTACACTCCAACGGGAAGACATCTCTCAGTATATATGATACACTCTGAAGCAACTGGCCGGATAACGTTTCTACACATTCTTTTGAAATCAAGCTATCAAACACTCTCAAGAACTCAGATCTCTCATCCTCCATACGAGAACAAGCTTGACGTTGGGAAGACAATATTTTATTCTTCAAGAACTTCATCTGCAAATCTTCTTTGAAGCACGTTGGAGAAAACCTTTTGCTCTAAAAAAGATCTTCTTGTTTAAGAAGGACATCTCAAAGTAACTGGAGTAGTGAAGTGGAGATACTTCATGGAAGCTCAGTGAAACGAGA